GAGCATTGACCTAATTCCTTGGTAACTCCGATCCCCATGCACCTTTCGACTCAAAACTCGTTGCTAAGGGCCTTTTCGTTAGAATTTAGAGTGGTCTCTCCGAATTTTCAAGTTAAAGCCCTAGGAAGAAAGTAGCTTTGGATCCCACCCCATATCGCCTTCGTCACCCCATATCGTGTTCGTTAGCTATCCCCTTCTACAAGTAGTCGTTGAGGAATTTAATAGAACTTAATTGACTTTTCGAAATATTATTGCAGTCAATTGAACATTTTAGCCACATAATTATGTTTGGGCGCCAATTTGGTCCATTCATACCTGTGAGGCTTGCATTGAATTTCAGGTAGAGAACCAGAATTTTCATTGATACCAGAGGTGTTTTGAAGACTGGGGTAATATTCAAAATAGTAATAACTTGGATTTTCTGCAAAACAAATGAGACAAGTTTTAAACACCACAGCTAAGGAAGGAAGCTGAAAAAAAAACTGGAGGGATTCTTACAGACGCTATAACTTGGAAGGTGTTAAATTAACTTTTGCATCTACAGTATCTGCTATAGGCCTCTATAAGAGATCTTGTGAATGTTAACGAGGCTTTCATGACTCCCGACGTCTGTTCAAAGTAGTTCAAGTGCGACATTATCGCACTCAGCCTAATGATTTTTAAGCCTTAATTATAAAGCATCGTTCACACTTTTTACGGTCAGTGGTAAAAATGCTTGACTACACCTTTGGACATGCGCGTGGTGAGGACCTGACTATTCCGCTAAAATACAAAGCAAAGTTGCGCCAGTCTTTTCGAAATCCTAGTCTAAACCTAAAATGATAGAGAACTACTTCGAGTCTATCACAATCAAGACCTCTTTGTTTTAAGTAAGATAATGGCTCTAATAGTTTGTTTCAGACACAAGCATACTCATTACTTAGGCAACTTTTTTCAGAGGGAGAACTGTTATAATACAATAGCCCGGCGAAAAGCAGCAGCAGAGGTAATAGAATCCGGGCGAACTGTGGAAAAAAGAAAAAAAGTAGCGATTTTCAGTGACTCTCGCGGAAAGTGAGCCCACTTCGCTTTGATTATCAGGATAAATTTGCGTCAACATCTCACTACAACTCCTAAGACAATCGCTAATTGATCACACGAGTTTTCCCGCACTTTCCGGGTGGTTGCCTGTTTTACTTGAGTTCTCATTGGTCCCTCAGGATGAATTCCCAAACACTGGTTGGTCGTGTTGATTACTTCGATTTTGGTTTTGGTTTTCGCTAAAAATTCAGCTACAAGCTGTCCCAGTTGCTGTTAACGCGCCGCGGGAAACTCTTGGGGTAACGCCGACGCGACGTAGGATCTCCTTGAGTGAGGCACTCAAAAAGTCTATTTTTCGAACGCCTCCCTCATGGAGCTCCTGCGGTGCATCGGCGTCACTCCAAGAGCTTCCCTCGGCGCGCTGACATCAACTTTTTTTCACTGATTTTTTTTTAATTCGCGCGACTGACTTCGCAGTAAAGGAGGGATTGCTCGTATTCTAATTCAGCAAACTCAGAGAAGGGTAAAACACTCAACGAAAGTACCAAAACAAGACAATAACTATGACGTAAGAGCAGAAAAAGGGTTCGTCAACGGTTTCCCCCGATTTTGCAGGGAAAAACACCAACACAAGAAGAATATTTATTATCCATATGAATATATCTCAGACATAAAAAAAAAATCATTTCCTCACCAAGCGCCTCCGACGTGCTAAACGTTTCCTGGCCAGTTTTAAAAAGAAAACAGAGAGATGACCTAAAAAAAAGCAATGTTTCTAAATTAAACTAACGGTCTGAAACAAAACTAAGAAGATTTAAAGCGGAGACTGTTTGGGCCCGCCACGCGCATTACATGGTTCCCCCTTTACCCAAAACGTTGACAAGTCACTGACCAGCGAGCCTGCGATCATAAGCGCGGGGGAAAGGGTGTTTCTTCGCCCGCGAGTAAGTCAAGCGCCTACCTCGTTCCCAGGTCTCTCATTTTCCGGCCACTTCTCTCGCTCTAGGGGACTGTGTCAGCGAGAAGATGAGAGACCCTGGTCAAGCACATAATGAAATGCTACGTCAGCGGGTATGCGGTCAATAGCGCGGGCTCAAGTGTCCTAGGTCTAAAATTTGGCGAAATTAGCGGAAATTTTTCTGATCTTTAAAACCGAGGAACTCTATTTTCGTCGAAGGCACTTTCCTATTTCCAAAGGTTTGAAGGAGAAAATTAAGTTTTGAAAATTTTTAGGGGGTGTACCAAATTTTTGGAGGTTGTTCTGTAAATGAAAAGCGGCAAGGAAAACGACGCCTCGAAGCAACAGAATAGGAAATCAACCATGCGAACGACTCAAAATCCGTGTTTCCGCGGCAAAACCTGGCGCATGCGTATACGTTATTCAGCTCTGTCGCCTAGCAAACATGTCCGATACACACAAGTCGATTTCCATAGCAAACATGTTTTCCCGCTGGCAAATTTCTATTCGCACAAACTTCCAACGAAAGTAAGATTACCGGAAATCGTGATGCGGAAGAGTACTTAGCCTGTAGAGCAGGCGTAATTTTGCCGAGCGACTGCTAAGTACTTCCTTAGCGAAAATTATGGCCGTCATCTTGGAATTTGACTCATTGGTTGGGAGTTTCTTTGAGTCGGCCCAGTGACGTATTTCATTTGCAGAGGTATTTAGAGAAGATTAAAATTCAGGTTAATTATTAAAGTGAGCAGATGCTGTAAGGGTAGTATCATCAGCATAGTGGTCTACTTGTGAACTGACTGATGCAAAGGTAGATCTCAAGGACTACTTTGAACTGTTGAACTTTGATTTACTTCACACTATTACTGGAAGTTAATATTTATATGAAAAATAGGAGAGGGAGAGAAGAATAAAAGTAATATTTGGCCATAAAGATAAGTTTGAGAGGTACATGGTGTCCAAAGTAGCAGAAGCTTTCTAGTTCCAGGACATAAAAGTAAATCAGCAGTAAAGTAAGTAAAATGATTAGGTTTTGTTGAACAAGGTTGAAGTTGCCATTTTTCCTTAAGAGTAGATCAGTAGCAAAGTAAAATGATCAGGTTTGGTTGAGCAAAAGTTTATGTTTCCATTCTTTTTTAAAGCTATTGTAAGGCATATATTTAAGAAAAGTGGGTACGGTTTCCCATATCTTTGAAGCAGAGAATATAAAAGATGATTTTCCCATGTTGGTGGATACTCGTGGTCTAAAAATATTATTATTAGTAGCAAATCTTGTATAATAATTAAGTTTTTCAGATGCTGGGGTCAGGATATCAAGGAAGATATCTGGAATGCTATC